TACAGGCACGCAGGCTACCACGCCCGGCTGATTTTTTGATTTATTGTAGAGATGAGGTCTCGCTGCCCAGGCGGGTCTCGAACCCGTGGGCTCAGGCAATCCACTCACCACAGCCTCCCAAAGGCCCGGGATTACAGGCTGAGCCACCGAGCCCGGCTTGTCCTGACTTTTAACAGCAGAATAATTTTGCTTAGTTTCATGCTTTATATAAATAGAATTATAAAGTATGTACATTTTTGTGTCTGCTTTCCCTCATTCAGCATTATGTTTGTGAGATTTATTTGTACTGTTTGTGTATAATTGCCGATCCTAGGGCTCTTCTCTTGATCTTTATAACTTTGCATCAATTAAGTTGTAGTTGATTAGAGGCATGCATTGGGTTGATGAATGGCCAATGATTACTATCCCACAGGGTGAATAATCTCTTTTCTCTCTCCCTTGGGGTTCCATTGTAGGCAGAGTACTCTAAGGTAGAAGCTGGCTGGCAGATCATATAAATAAAGTCATTCTGTTTTGACTGGGTGAGATCCTCTCTGCTTTCTAATAATGGGCAAAGAAACATTCTTCATACCCCAATTTTTCAATCTCTTGTTCAGAGTGTGTTGCACATGAAGAATTAGAGTCCTCATGGTTAAGATAAAAATTAGATAAGAGACCTAAGAAATGTCTGCCCACTCTTTCTGTTAGAGGAATCTTCCCAGGGATTGCTCTTTACTATCAGTACAGAGGCCTTTTCTTTTTTTCCCCCCCGAATTGGAGTCTTACTCTGTCGCCCAAACTTGAGTGCAGTGGCCACTCCCGGCCACCATTGCCTCGACCTGCTGGGCTCCAGCGATCCTTCTGCCTCAGCCTTCCAAGTAGCTGGAACTACAGGCGTGCTCTACCACGCCCGGCTAATTTTCTGATTTATTGTAGAGATGAGGTCTCGCCAAGTTGCCCAGGCAGGTCTCGAACCCGCGGGCTCAGTCAATCCACTCACCTTGGCCTCCCAAAGCGCAGGATTACAGGCTGAGCCACTGAGCCCAGCCAGAGGCCTTTTCTGAGTGACCCTCTCTGTTGGGCTTAGCTCTGCTATTAACTCTGAGACCTTGGATGATGATTTCTTTTGGAATCTCAGTTCCCTAAACTTAAAAAAAAAAATAGTTTGAGCTGCATGATCCCTATGGTGCCTTCTAAATCTAGTATACTACAATTCTATGATGACAAGGGTATTCTAATCTGGAAGCTTCCTTCTGGTTGTTGGGTAACCTTTGCTAAACTGTGAAGGTTAGTCCTAGAGATAAGGACAAACAAAAGTGGGTGTGGGTGTGGGTGTGGGTGTGGAGAGGGCTAGTTTAAGCAAATGAAGACCAAATTTCTTGGGGAATGCAGCATTGTTTGAGATAATGTTATCTACAATGGCCAGCAACCAAGAGGCACCAAACTAGAATTCAAATGTATAAAATATTATTTCTAATTTGAATTTATTTGTTGCTAACAAAAGCCTCAGATTCCCTTTTTAAATTTTTTTATCCATAAAATTTAATGATTCACTGGTAAAAGTCATGATAATAAAAGTCAGTCTTCTGTTTTGCTTTTTTGAGTAGGAGTACAGTAGCATGATCATGGCTCACCACAGCCTCCAACTTCTGGACTCAAGTTATCCTTCTGCCTTAGCCTCTCAAGTAACTGGGACTACAGATGAGCACCACCACACCCAGCTAATTTTTTGTTTTTGTTTTGTAGAGATGAAGTCTCCTTATGTTGCCCAGGCTAGCAGTCCTCCTGCCTCTGTCTCCCAAAGTACTGGGATTACATATGTGAGCCACTGAGCTCAACTAAAGTTAGTATTTTTTGAGTCCTTATGTGCCAGGTACTATGTTAAGCTCTTTATGTACATTACCCCTTTAATTCTTTTTTTTTTTTTTTTTTGAGTTGGAGTCTCACTCTGTCATCCAGACTGGAGTG